TCTTTCTTTTTTTTTTTTTCCTTTTAAGATAGTCTCACTCTGTCGCCCAGGCTGGAGTGCAGTGGCATAATCTTGGCTCACTGCAGCCTCCACCTCCTGGGTTCAAGCAATTCTCCTGCCTCAGTCACTTGAGTAGCTGGGATTACAGGCATGCACCACCATACCTGGCTAAGTTTTGTATTTTTAGTAGAGACGGGGTTTCACCATGTTGGCCAGGATGGTCTTGAACTGCTGACCTCAAGTGATCTTCCTGCCTCGGCCTCCCTAAAGTCCTGGATTTACAGGCATGAGCCACTTAAGCCCGGCCTGAAATATATTTTTGACTCATGATATTGTAAGCTTCTGATGGGTTTACAGGGATGTAACTCCATTGTAAATCGAGAAGCATCTCTACATGAATGAATGGATGAATGAATGAACAAATGGTCTGAAATAATGCTGTGTACCCATTTCTACCCAACGAAGTTTTAAAATGTTGTTTGATTTTTTTTAAAGGCAGGTTTTTTCAATAGCTTTGAGATATAATAGACATACAATAAACTGTACATATTTAAAGTGTACAGTTTGATGAGAGATGAAATATGTTCACAACTGTGAAACCCTCACCACCGTCCATGTAATGAACATATCCTTCACACCCAAAAGTTGCCTTGAGTCCTCTTGTAAACCAAGAGGAGTTTTGCAGAATAGAAAGCTGATAGAATCACACATCTCCAAGGCCAAATCTAGTCCTACCTCTCAATTTCCTTATCTGTAAAATGAGGAATGTTCACCTAGCAGGGTTGTCTCAAGTGCACATAAAATGGTCTAATTGAACTCGTAGCAGGACGGCAGGAGATCAACAAAGCGTGGCTATTATTATCTGCCCTGTTCTGTCTGAGATTCCCTTGTGTGGATTCTCTCACGCTTCCCTCCACCTACTGAAATCGATCGCAACCTTCAAGTGCACCTGAGAGGCTGTCCATCTTGACATGCTCTCTCTGATCTTTCTCCTTTCCTTATTTCTAACGCCCTTGCAGTTAGGTACACACAACTCAAGGTTTCTAACGCTTTGGCTTGGTTTCACTCATAATCATCTCTCTCCTCCTAAAGAGAGAGAAAGTAACTGATGTAAAGGTTAGGTCTGTATCATAACTATGTTTTTTTTTCTATTCCCTTTACAACACCTGCCTCAAGGCTGAGAATGTGTTCAAAGGAGGCTTCCCAATTCACCTGCTTATAAAAGAGTTTTCATCTCCAGAAATTTTATCTTTTTATTTTTTTCTGCTTCATTGTACACATAATAGTGTAACAATATCTGTGATCAAAAAATAAAGAAAAATCACTCTGCATTCCACTCCTATTGCATGTTGGCAGTTGGATATTTTCCCTTTCCTTTCATTTTAGGTCTACATGCACTGAGAATTTGCACAAAGCTGTGATCACAGAGTAGACGGAATTTGGCATTCTGCTTTTTTCACTCAATGTGCTACCATGGGCATCTTTTTCATTTTGTGGCTATCTTCATAATTATCATTTTTTAAGGGACTGCACAATACTCAAGTATGTGGGTGTAGCATAATCGACTGAAATGTTTCCCTTCTGTTGATTGTGGAGGCTGGTTCTGAATTTTCACTGTTGCAGACAATGCTGTAATTCACTCTGTCAACATGTGCTGAGCACTTACAATGAAGCAGAAGCAGTGTTTGGCTCTGTAACAGGCAGCCTTGTACCTGTAGCTTTGCTCTTCTTATTTCCTGAGTGTAGGTTTGCTGGGATGGAGGGTCATGTAAACGTATTTGTAACTTCCTGGGCAGTCTGAGTGTAATCCCAAGGTCTCTATTTAAAAACACAATGAATTGTGGGAAGTCACCTTTGAAGGAAGGTGAGGGTGAGGTGGGTCTCAAATGCCTTCTGTTCCTCTGACATTAGCAGACACCAGTGATTTGGGGGCTAAGAGAGTAGATCTAGGGCAGTGGGAAGATGAGAGGATGGGAAGGATGCGGAGGAAATGGGGCAGGCAGGAGTTCCCTGGTTACGGGCTATTAGTTTTTCAGAAGAGATGCCATCTTCCTTCTCTTCCCACTCCCCACATCCTGCCAGCTGCACTGGTCTCCTTTCAGGTTCATAAGTTCAGCAAGCTTTTCCCGATGTGGGACCCTAGCCCATGGCATCCCTGCTAGTCAGAAATGCTCTTCCTTTGGCCAACTTCTCACGCCTCAACTCTCAGCCAAAATCCCACTCTATGATTGACAGTGTTTCTGATTTCTCCATCAGTAAGTATTTGCAAGCACCTTGCATTTCACTACCAGAGCACATGTCGAAAATGTGAATCAGTTATTTCTCTTTATGGTTTTATTTTTTGTCCTTGCTTCTTCCATTAAGACTACATTCCACAAGGACGGTGATTCTCAAGGTGGTATTGCTGGATCTCTGGCCCTGGCACAGTCTCCAGGCCATCACAGACACAAAGCACAGATGTATTAAGCAATTGTATGCATGCATACATGAAAGAATGCTTGCAAAAATATCACGTAAGGAAGTCAAAGAAAAAATGACTGAAGGGACAATGATAGTTCATTTTCCAGACCACAGCTTAAGAGACTTGAGTTAAAGATAAGAAGAACTGACCAGGCGTGGTGGCTCACGCCTGTAATCCCAGCACTTTGGAAGGCCGAGGCGGGCGGATCATGAGGTCAGGAGATGGAGACCATCCTGGCTAACACAGTGAAACCCCATCTCTGCTAAAAATACAAAAAATTAGCCAGGCATGGTGGCGGGCGCCTGTAGTCCCAGCTATTCGGGAGGCTGAGGCAGGAGAATGGTGTGAACCCGGGAGGCAGAGCTTGCAGTGAGCGGAGACTGCACCACTGCACTCCAGCTTGGGCGACACAGCAAGGCTCTGTCTCAAAAGAAAAAAAAAAACCTACCTGAGAGCTATGGAACTGGGCAAATGGATGTCCTCAGAATTAGCCTGCAGCCTCTAGACATCTGAGAAACAGAGGGTCAATTTCTAATATCTAGCTTTAAGCTTTCCTTTCACATCCTGCTGGAACTATTGGGACAACCTTAAATTGTATGCAATGCTCTGCATTCAAAATTTAAAAATAAACCTGAAAACTCAGACCATCAGAACCCCCCCTTTTTAAGAAACTTCCCAAGTTTCACCAAATCTGTTCTAAAACTATCACCTCAAATAACTAGCTCTCCCATCCACTTGTCCTTCAGTTTTCCCAGCTTAATCTGTGATTTGAAGAAAATTGTTTCCTTTTTCAGACAGGCTTTTGCTGTCTGTCACCCATGCTGGAGTGCAGTGGCATGATAGCTCACTGCAACCTCTACCCCCAGGATCAAGCAATCCACCCACCTCAGCCTTCTGAGTAGCTTGAGACTACAGGCATGCATCACCATGCTCAGCTAAGTTTTGTATTTTTGGAGGGGGGTGCAGGTAGAGATGGGGCTTCACCATGTTGGCCAGGCTGGTCTCAAACTCCTGGGCTCAAGTGATCTGCCCTCCTTGACCTCCCAAAGTGCTGGGATTATAGGCATGAGCCACTGTGCCCAGCCTTGTTTCTTTATTATGATTCTATCTGGACTACGTAATACCTTTGTATGTAGCAATTTTGTGTTGGAAAATGAGAATGCCGAAACAATGGCTCTGGCCCAAATCTGAATCCTCTCAGGAGCTGTGAGTGGCATGGACCCTGAGAACAAGCCTGGAGCCCAGAGCAACAGCCAGAGTGAGACACACAAAATCATCTGAAACCATGATGGCAGCTGGGTCTCCATCTGATTCTCTGTGTTGACACACATGTGGTCATGATCAATAACTTCAGAATCACAGGTTATAAACCACCATTCCCCCAGGTGACTGCAACAACCAGCACATGATCTTGCAGTCCCAGCCTCCCTCCTCCCATCCATCCCCTCGGCACCACCAGTGATTGTTCAAAACTCAAGTCAATCATAGCTCCACTTCAGTTCGTCAGTGGCTCTTGGTCACACCCAGGTTGGAGTCCACATTTGCTAGATTGGTGTACGTGGTCTTTATGTGTATCTGATACCTGTCTCCTTGCTCAGCCTCACCTCATGCCCCTCCTTCCCTGTCCCCCCAGGTGTCCCTGTGCCAATACGTATAATTAGATGAGATAACAAGACATCCCTGGACTTGCACCCCAGTAAGCCTTCTTGTAGTTGTCCCCGCCTCTGAGGCTCTTGAGTTCCTCAGTATGTATGCACAAGACTTTCCTTTCCCAGAGCAGCAGCCCCCTCCCTGCCCCTTTCTTCCTATGGGTAATTCTGGCTCATGCTTCACTCTTCAGAGAGGTGCTATCTGTACAGGAAAATCACGGGCTCCAAAGTTGAAATGCCTGGCTTGACTCCAGGCTCCACCCTTTACTGCCAGTGCCAGGCCTTTCTGGGTGCACACAATGACAAGGTTTCTCAATTTGCTTTCAGTAAGGCATAGCCAATGACCTGAGCAGTAGTGCTAGACTATGAGAAGGGTGTGTGTTCTTTCTGGGACTGACCCAAAAAACCTCCTCTTCATGACCCTTTGGTGCTCTCTGCCCATCTGTTGGCTAGAAGCTAAGGACCTTAAGACCCAAGACAACAGTGGAACCTTAAGATGAAAAGAGCCTGGGTCTCTGAATGCTCTTACAGAAGATCATCTACCAAATATCCACCTTAAGTTGTCATGTGAATGAATGAGAAATAAACTTCTATGCATTAAGATGGTCAAATAGGAGCTAGCGTAACTTTAATACATTAGCTTTGCAAGTTACTTAGTCAATCCGTTCCTTGGTGATAATGGGGTTAAGGGGATTAAATGAACTAATGCATTTGAAGTATTTGGCTCAGAGCTAATAGTACTAAGCTCCCAATATATGTTTGTTATATATTACTATTATTATTATTATTATTATTATTATTATTATGATCCCTCCTTTAAATAAGTGCTACTGCTCTTTGAGAGCACAGCAAGGGCCAGCCTGGTGCTTTTTCAAAAGCAAACATCTTACCTTTTAACTTCTTGCACATAGTCTGCATTTCTGTCAAAGAGGTGGGTCACAGAGTCTTTGATTGCTTCATGCTTGAAAGTAGAGGCTGTTCCAAAGACAGTCACATTGGGGACAGTGGAACACAGCTGAGCCACAGCTTGACCCTGGAAGGAAAAGACAATAGCTATGTCACACATAGGAGCCACCAGTTCATAGCCAATCTTGCTGGGTGTAGAGCAGGATTTCTCCATTGGCACTATTGATTTTTTTTTTTTCTTAAGCAATGGAGTCTCACTCTGTCACTCAGGCTGGAATGGAGTGTGCAATGGTATGATCTCAGCTCACTGCAACCTCTGTCTCCCGGGTTCTAGCCATTCTCCTGCCTCAGCCTCCCAAGTAGCTGGGACTACAGGCACATGCTGCCACACCCAGCTAATTTTTTGTATTTTTCTTAGAGATGGGGTTTCACCGTGTTGCCCAGGCTGGTCTCAAACTCCTGAGCTCAGGCAATCCACCCTCCTCAGCCTCCCAAACCTCAGCCTCTAAAACCAAGTGTTGTCTATTTCTGGTGTTCCATCTGCCATTTTAAGGAGGAAAACTATTCTACCAGAGTCATCTGTGATGTTAATTTCTGCCTATCATCTTATTTTCATGTCTTCATGCTGGCGGACTAAATCAGGTTGGCAGGTCAATTTATGGAAACGTTATCTTATCACCCATTGCAATTAAAGGAAATGTTGAGAGAATCATAGAATGTCAGAGTTGGAAGATCATCCAATTACCCCCTCCCCATGACTGCTCTATAGATAAAGTAAAAGACATTCAGAAAGGTTAAGGTTACCCATTTTTTCAGAGGCAAATCTGCGATTCCAAGTAAGGTGTCCTGGTTTCCAGTTATTGCCATTTTCCATTGTGTTATGCTGTCTACTTATTTTGACATTTTAAGCTAAGCAGGCTCTAAAGTTCATACCTAAAATAGACATGCTGCTGGCACATCCCCTTGGAGGTCAACATTTCAGAATATGGGCATGAACCTGAGACTCTGGACAGGCTATAGTTTTCTGTCCAAAGAATAGCATTGATATTTGTTTAATTCTCCTGCCTTCTAGATTTTATAAAACAAAGAGAGGACTATGTTTTCTAGGGAGTGTAAATATCAGCTACCAATGCAGCAATTCTCTAAAATTTGCTGGCCTCAGATATGTCGCAGTTACAGCTCCATATGGACATGGCTTGCAATGATAACCTTCTTAGTACTAGGACAGGAAATTACAATTAGTTCCAGTATTCCTGTATTCCCTTCTGCCCTCTGTCCTTAGGTAAACAGGACATACATTCATTCAACTATTTTTCAGATTTCTATTCTGTACTGCTTGCACTGTGCTATGGATGCCAGAGTGTCCAAAGTGATTGGCATGTGTAAATCTCCAGTCCCAAGCTGCCCACTGAGTCCTGGACTTGCATCTCTATCGTTTTGGCATTTGTCTCCACCTGGCTGTCCCAAAAGCAACACATCACACTCAACTGATCCAAACCTAACTCGTGCCCATCTCTGAATGAACTCATTCAGAGATGAGTCAGTTTCCTAGTGCTGCTGTAACAAAGTTCTACAGACCCAGTGGCTTAAACATCAGAAATTCCTTTTCTCACAGTTCTGGAGGCACAAAGTCTAAAATCAAGGTATTGGCAGCGTTGGCTCCTTCTGAGGGCTGTGAGCGAAAGATCTATTCCAGGGCTTTCTCCTTGGCTTGTAGATGTGCCTCTTGTCCCTGCGTCTCTCCTCTCCGTCTTCCCTGTGCCTCTTCTCCCTGCGTCTCTCCACTCCGTCTTCCCTGTGCCTCTTCTCCCTGCGTCTCTCCACTCCGTCTTCCCTCTATGACGCTCTGTGTCTGAATTTCCCCTTCTCATAAGGACACCAGCCATATTGGATGAGGGCCCACTCCAATGACCTCAGTGTAACTTATTTGCCTTTGTAAAGACCCTATCTCCAAATAAAGTGACGTTCTGAGGTGCTGGGGGTTAGGGCTTCAACATAAGAATTTGGAGTGGTGGTGGTGGGATGCAATTTAACCGATAACACTCCTCTTACTGTGTTTCCTGCTTCAGTGGATGGACTGCACCATTCCCCAGCGCTAAAGCCAGGAATCTGGGCCGCATCCTGGCCTCCTCTTCCTCCCTCACCCCCACGTCCCTATATTCAGCAACTGCATTATCTCTTTGTCCTCGACAGCTCGTATGACTGTCTCTTAGTCTGGGTGGTCACGCTTCTCACCCTGGACTATGACAACACTCCTCCACGTGACCTGGCTGTTTCCAAAAGTCCTTCTGTGGTCAGAGTGACATTTCTCAAATACAACACTGAACATGTCACTATTTATTTTGGACTTCCCAATGTCCATCACAGCTTTCAGAATACAATGCACACCACCTAGTTTATCACACAAGGCTGGCCCCTATTATCTGACCCAGGCTTCCTCATTCACTTATTTCCTCCACTTTTCCAATCTCTACTCCCTAACACACACGGAACTTCAGCCACCACGACTAGCGTTTGCCACGACCATGGCATTATGCAGCCCTCAACCCTGGCATTCTCAGAATGACCTTTCATCTTACTTTTGTTTGTTATTAGAGACAGGGTCTCACTCTGTCACCCAGGTTGCAGTGTAGTGACTCAATCATGGCTCACTGCAACCTTAAACTCCTGGGCTTAAGTGATCGCCCCATGTCAGCCTCCCCAGTAGCTGGGACTACAGGTACATGCCACCACACCCAAATAGGTTTTTTTTTTTTGGAGACAGAGTTTCACTCTTGTTGCCCAGGCTGGAGTGCAGCGGTGCAATCTCGGCTCACCACAACCTCTGCCTCCTGGGTTCAAGCAATTCTCCTGCCTCAGACTCCTGAGTAGCTAGGATTACAGGCATGCGCCACCACGCCCGGCTAATTTTGTATTTTTAGTAGAGACAGGGTTTCTCCATGTTGGTCAGGCTGGTCTCAAACTCCCGACCTCAGGTGATTTGCCTGCCTCGGCCTCCCAAAGTGCTGGGATTACAGGTGCGAGCCACTGCACCCAGCCTTTAAATTTTTTTTTTTTTTGTAAAGATGGGGTCTCACTATGTTACCCAGGCTGGTCTAGAATTCCTGGCCTCAAGTGATCCACCTATCTTGGTTTCCCAAAGCACTAGGATTACAGGCATGAGCCATTGTGCCCAACCTCACCTTAGTTTACTGAGGAAGAAGCTGAGGTTTATAGAGGGTACGTGCCTGCTCCAACACCACTAGAGTAACAGTTTGATCTGCTTCACTCCTGGCTGCCACACGTACCAGCTGAGCAACGTATTGGCACCTCTGTTCACTCATCTAAAATATTTGTATAGCAATAGTCTACACAGTCTAGGTTTACTGTGAGATTCTGTGTTAAAATGTATCCAAGTGCCTAGAACAATCAATGCTCAATACATACTTCCTATCACTACTCCTAAGTCCTCTCTGACTATTTTTCTTGGTCTTACTATATTCGCAGTAGCAGCATATCCATTATCCTGCCATCAGATCCTGCAATGACTATGCTATTTTAGCATCAATGCCAGTTTCCCCACATGCTTTCCTCCTTCTTATTATGCCCTCCCTTCCTCTTTTTTCTTCCAATCAGAGCCATTTCCACTCAGTCATCTCCATCCCCAGGAATCCTTTCCAGCATGCCAGATAGAGTCAGTTGCCCTCTTTTGTGCCCCTGTTGACTTGTGGTTCCTTTCTCCCAAAGCGTGGCTACCACGGCCTCTGTGGCTTCTGCCTGCCCCATCTGTGAGCTCTGTGGGGGCAGGGACTGTGTCTCCACTGGCCCTCTGCCTCTGTGCCCAGGGCAGAGCCTGACACACAGCAAATGTCTGGTAAAACTTGGTGGACAGATGCATGGGAAACTGGAGGAGTTGAGTGTATGGGGGCAGCCCTTCCCAATCGTTTTGCAGCCTTCATGTCCTTTAGTGTTGTAGAGTTGGACTAAAGCGTAGATTTAATTAACCTATGCAGGTTCTGACTCAAGCAGAACTTCACTATTTCTGTTTTAAAGAAAAACATGCACATGGTAAAAAAAAAAAAAAAAAAAGATAATATAGGTATTCCAGATCACTTATGTACTTATAACATATAATATGTAATAAATAATAAATATATAATATAATTACTTAAAACTAGAATAGTGTACAATTTATATGTAGCCATGATGTGTATATGTATAATATATACCATCTAATAATATAGAAATAGAATTACTAATAACACAATTAAAATTAGTATGCTATATAAGTATTATGCATAATATATAATAATCTATACTATTACCTAAAGATTAATGGATGGAAAACATAAATTCATCACATGTTTACTTGCAGCCTTTCTGTTCTCCATCACCTGTCTTAGGCAATGAGAGGCCCTGACAACATCTTCACTAAATGTTAAATAACGCTCCGCATTCTGTATTTAAGCGGAAAAGTGCCTTCCCACACATTTATAGAAAATCCGTGTCCTCCCTTCCCCAACTCCTGAGGTGAATGCAGGATCAGCAGCTCATTTATCCTCTTTTCTCCTACGTGCCTAGCAAATAGCATGGACTCAATAAACATTTGTGGAAGACAGAATGAACTTTCAATAAAAAGGACCTTGCAATTTACCTCCAGAACCAGAACATAAAATGAACAAGACAATCCATTCTCCCCGTCGCGGCAGTAAATGATGATTTGCATGCACTTGTTTTTAATGGATTTTCCTTCCTTCTTTCGAACGTAAGAATTCTGCACCACATCTGCCCTTCTCTTCCCTATGTCTAACAATAGAGCATTAATAGCAGCTGCGGCTTCTTTTGTCCCACCATGGGGCAGATACTGTACTAAAGTGCTTCGTTAAATCCTTAAACCACCTTTAGTGTAAGTATTTTTGTCTTCTTTTCATATCTAAACATGGAGACTCAGAGAGAAAAAGAAAGTTGGCCAAGGTTACCTGGCTTGTGAATGATAAAGCTGGGAATCAAATCCAGGTATCCCTGACTTCAAGGCCACTCTGCTATTAATCTTCTTATCTGTGCAGCTAAGCCCTCGAGTTGCCATCTTAGAGACAACTGCGGGTCTTTGCCATCAATTGCTCTTCGGATGACTTTGTCTCAGGTTCA